GCGAGAGAAGGAACTTTTTCTTTTCTGCGAGAATCGTGCGAGAATTATGCGTCAAATATCGGGTTGACGCAAGGTGGACGATGTCTCTCAATCGAAGAGACACGCTCGTGTCAGAGAGCGTTCTATCACAAACACGACATATCCGCATTTTATTACATACATTACATACATTATACATACCTTATCACATGCCTTACACATATATTCAGGAAAAAATACAACACAGATGACAATTTTGTATGTAGAATTAAAGCATATGGTTTAATCAATTATTTTATAGTATATCAAATTTTAATTTGAGTGGTTACGATTGCTATAGTTATCAGAAACTATAGTTTACGCTATGCTACACCAGATTTAGTTGCGATAACTATAGATAGATTATTAAACTATATGTCTCCCCAGACCGCCAAACCTGCAGAAGCAGATTTCGCGCGGTGTCTGCTGCAGGCTGTGCGAGCAGTTTGCCGGCAGAAATCTGGCAACAGGATCTGATGGCGGAGTACGATGACAGACAGACAGCAGAGATCGAGCAGGATGGTGTCCTTCCAATGTATTTAAATGGCCCATAATCTTGCTTTGAGCAGTAAGCAAATCGATCAATCACGGCTGCTTATTTATTAGAAGAATAAATACACTGCAGATCCTGCTCGCTTTCTGCCGCCGATCTGCTCGTCAGCAGGCTCCATCGGCAGAACAACAGCAGATTTGCGGATGACTATGGATCTATGGTCGCCAGTCTGTCGTGAGATTGCTAACAGATTACTCATAGGGTTGATTTCACATACAAAATTCGTATAGTTGTCACTTTTGTAGATCGCCACGATATATAAATAGTTGTCTCTGAGTGTAGGACTATCCAGTTATCGGATATCCAGTTTTGTAGTCGCAACGAGAATGAGTGTCTCTTGTAGCTGTTCAGTATCAGCTGTATCTTACCCCCTACTTGTCCCCGCATCACGAACATCGTAGATTTAAGTAGCTCAAGTTATCCGGTTGTAGCAGCGGGTGAGCGGGATTAGCGTTGAGATCGTTCGGCGAGAGAATGGCGGGCGAGAGTGAGCGAGAGTGAGAGCGATTGGGAGAGCGTGCGTTCGTTGTTAATTGCGTTATTAAGAAGTATGACAATAAGTCGGCGAGCCTCTCGGCGTCGTGAGATCCGAGCCAGCCGGTCCCATTCACTCGCGATCGCTGTACACGTTAATACCGCGATTAATTAAGCAGCGACACGTGAGACACGCGAGTGAACTACGTTGACGAGAGACGAAAGATCGGGAACTCGTGCCGGGGGGAGTTCTCTCGAGGAGGCGCGTACACACATACATATATACATACACCGTTTCTTCACTCTGTCGGGGACTTCATCTCACGCGAATGAATCATAATCTGCACCTTGAACGCATCTCGAGGAGAGGACATGGTTTATCGGGGACCACGATCTAACAAATACTTTTAAGCCTGCGAGATTAGACTTCCTAGATATATTTTACTGAAAGATATATTAGATTTCAGTATATCCCCCCTTCCCCCTTAATATTTACGCGTTACGTATGTGCAATATAAATATATATATATATATATATACATATAAATATATAAATGATCGATTTATGAGATCAAGCACGCGCGGAATGCGTACGGAGGATTTCACGAGCCATCATCCCGGATCTACGACACATAGAGACACATTTCCACGATTAGCTCGGGTTCTTTCTGCTCTTATTGAGATTTGTAAATATTACAATAGTATTATAATCGTTGTAGGCGTATATATAACTCGGTGCGAGAACGGAAGGAGGTGCAACTGGGCGTTCGACACACGTATCGTGAGCAAGTCTTACACACGTTGTTTTCTGTTATTCTTACTTAACTACGTTCGCGCGCGTGTCGAGAAAGATGCATGATGCGGTCCCATGAGGTATTGTCATCCCCTTCGCTTCTCACCCTCGTACTCGAGATCGCCTGTTTCCCTTCGCGCCTCGTTCCCGCGCGCGCGTCCCTTTATGCTTCCTTCCAAAACATAAACACCCGGGGAAAAATGGTTATATGTGATTACATATAATTATATAAAATCATATATGAATCTTGCTCATATATATGGTCACATATATGATCACACCAGATTGATTGATAAGTCTTTAGAATGACACATTAGCGGTGTTGCCATCTCCAATGCGCCGTAAATTTCCAGTAGTGCCGACCTTCAAACCTCTCACTACACAGACAGCTATGACAATCAATATATTTGCCACCGAAAGCACCTGACCTCTGATATTTTGTAAAAATGGAAAAAACTGAAATTCATGGAGTGATTAAGTATTTCCATTCGAAAGGCTTGCGACCGCAAGAAATGATTGAGGACTTCGAAAAAACTTTGGGAGAGTCTGCTCCGTCGAATGCAATCGTATATAACTGGATTGCTGAGTTTAAACGTGGTCGTACCAACACATCGGATGCACGACGCATAGGTCGTCCAAATGAGGTGACTATACCAGAAATGAATGAAAAGATCCATGATACCGTGTTGGATGACCCCAAAGTGAAATGCGTGAACTAGCTGCGGCTGTGGGCATCTGAACGTGTGTTCAATATCCTACACGAACATTTGGGTATGAGAAAGCTAACTGCCGCGATCGCTAACAATCGATGAAAAACGTGAACGAGTTCGCACTTCTCAGCATTGTTTGGACATGTTTCGGCGCAAATCAAAGGAATTTTTCCGTCGATACATAACCGTTGATGAAATATGGATCCACCATTATACACCTGAATCGAAACAACAGTCGGCACAATGGATTAAAAGGGTGGAAGTGCTCCGAAGCGACCAAAGACGCAACAATCGGCTGGAAAAGTTCTGGCCACTGTGTTTTGGGATGCACATGGAATAATTCTCATCGATTATCTTAAAAAAGGAAAAACAATCACAGAAGAATATTATCCATCATTGTTGTACCGATTGAATGATGAAACCAAGAAAAAACGGCCTCACTTAGCGAAGAAAAAAATTCTCTTTCATCAAGGCAATGCACCAGCTCACAAATCGGTAAAAGCAATGACAAAATTGAACGAATTGAGGTATGACTTGCTCCCACATCCACCGTATTCTCCAGATCTGGCCCCGCGTGACTTCTATCCTGTTTTCAAATCTCAAAAGATGGCTCCAAGGAAAGAGATTTGGTTCAAATGAAGAGGTTGAATGGGAAATAGACGCATATTTTGGCGGTTTAAAAACTTATTATTTGGAAGGCTTAAAGAATCTAGAAACTCGTTGGACTCGGTGTATCGAGCTAAAAGGAGATTATGTTGAAGAATAAAGTTGAGTTTTGCTAACAAAATGTTTTTTTTTTTTTCATTTTCATTCTAAGGACTTATCAATCAACCTGGTATATATCTGTACGAAAAAAATGATGTTACGTCGTTTAATTAAATGTCGATATCATGTCGCTTTCAGAACCACAAGTAGCCAGAAGCATTTACTTCGATTGTACTTTGCATATAATTTGTAAACAACAGTGTTTTTTCGCTGTGGGCATGTATGATTGTACATAGTCGTATATGGCCAAATTTCATACATGATCTTTTTTCCCGGACATACACTTATCTCGTTTTAAGTACGCGGGGAGCGCGTTCGGAAACACCGTAATTGCAATGGGACGGGTCGCTCGAATATCCGCCATTTTTAGGACAGGCACGCGCGACAACGCGGTTGTTATTATACATATATATAATCCTTAGGTGAGCTAAGGGGATTCGGCGTATATAAGCTAAGCTTGTTGTTTTATCCACGATCTAAGATGCTTGGCGCGTCGATATTGTTATCAGCGCGTCCCCCACAACAACATTGTACAGTATATTAATATTATTTTATATTATTATCATTATTATTATTATTATATTATTATTATTATTGTGCTACCTTTTCACACACTTCCTTATTACACTGTATATCGCGTTCGATTGTTATCGTACATTATGATGACAGGTTGATCGTAATTACAATCATTACAATTGTTACGTCGTCTCAGATTATCGCAGCTATAGTTAATAATATATTATTATGTCATCATCGCCGACACACACGTAATGTTACATGTAAACGATAAGAATCATTTTATTAAAATTGTCAATTAAGATCTAATGTGTGAAGTTTCTTTATCTCCGTTTGTCCCTTCGACTATGATGTAACCGCGCTTTTGTTCGCGCGCTAGCGTCGATGGAAGAGAAATTTCTTAGTGAAATCACAGTCAAATTCGAGAGAGTTTTAAAAAAGGGATTCAAATGGCGAATGCTTATAATATGATCTTGAAAGACGATTTGTGCGATGCATCCGTTAATTGAATGAATACATTTGCGCGTAAGATAACGTGATCTTGAAAACAAAGGAAAGATTAGGTAATCAAAAATATGAATATCATCGTGTAATTTTTCATAAATACATAAATTTTTTATCTAACGGATACGACGGATATGATAAACAAACGATATGGTACTACATGGAAATCTGTGAAAGAATAGCTCATTACGATCCGACGTTCTCGGAGGAGGATGAGAGAACAAAGGAGGAAACGACCAGCGCGCGCCGTATTATTACACGTTATCTTGTTACGTAACATCGTAAACGCTATTTGCTCGAACGAAGACTTACTCGCTATTCCGCAGCGAGAGTTACAAATCCAAACGGAGGAATCCAAAATGAAGCAAGTACAAGTGCATCGGGTTGCCACTTTTCCTCGACATCTCGTTCGTCTCATTGATAAAAGAGTATATCAAAATACCGGATAGGATATCATAATTAGTTTATTACAATAGTGAAGGTTATATACATGATTTTATTGATTGAATAATTATGCATTCATAGTAGCAACCTATATGCGCGTGTATATGTATACGTACGTGTCATACTTGCTGCACATACATATATATATATATAATATATATATATAATATAAAAATATTATATTATATATATATATATAATATAAAAATATTCAATATTTCCGTATTACAAGCAACTTTTACGATTATTCAGATAGAAAAACAGTCATATAAAATCATCACAATTATTGGAATACAAGATCTAATATGTAAACTTCGCTTCTGGAGCCCTAAATGCTACATTCGCTAAAAGTAAAACACTTCCTACAAATAAGTACGTCCTATGTGATTAAGCACGAAAGAACAAAATAAATATTTCCATTTCAACAAAATGTCAATATAGAAAATATAGCTACAGTATCCTCTAGGAACTACATGCATCAGGAATCACTATCCTTCTTAACGTAATATCGCGTTGCAATAAGTGATATAGGCATTTGACTGTATAATTAAATTCAAGCTAATAAAATAAATTCTGCATATTCTCGAAATATACATATTCCATCTATCTTCATCTAATAAAGAATCCAATCTACTCTATACATCTTAGGTCCCATAAAATGCTGCTGCACCGACATATGATCTGCTCGGTAAATCATACAAGAATGTAAATGTTGAAGATTATAAAAGTACTATACTTTGCAATCATTATACGTCGTATAAATTTACTTTCTTGTGCGATTTACAATCGCGGTCTTATTTTAGTTCAGTAATCATTCCGTGGCACGTCAGCATATATAAATAAACAGCATGAGTAACTCGATAGAATTTTGAATAATACAATAATACACAAGTCTACATTGTTTTATTATTGAGCATGTGTTTGTTTTTTATCTAAGTAACAACTGAAAGAGCACATCAAACAGCTTTCGCTATAAAGAATATATTGCCCATATCTCCTAGTCGTATATTAGTATCGCAAGAGGAGTATTATTTTACATAATTCATATAAAATAGTCGGTTAACTGTAATACTGTTTCACGTACGAAATGCCAGGCATCCGAATGATGTATATATCTTATTAGTAAATAAAACATATGAAATATTTCGTCGTACGTACACATCTCTATTCTTCCTCGTCGATAATAAGTAACGTTACACATCGCTCGATGTGACTGCGCACACTTGATATCAATATCGCAACCATATTGAATACACGTAAAAAAGTATTTTATAACAGCCTCTAGTATTGGTATATGTTTAATATCACTTACGTTATGAGCATGATGAACGTTAGACTATGTTGCGTATATATTCCGTCTACACTCGTGATACTCGTACAGATATTTACACAACATTGATCTACAACGATCTAAACAATGGCCTTCTTGTCTTTTAGAATAAGTTTGGTAGTGATATAGCCGATAAAATCATTATCATGGCAGACAAAACGACATACCTATTCTCGTTAATAACGGCACAATTCGTAAAGCTCTCAATAGCACGCGTCATATAATACACACACACCCACACACATATATATATATATAAATATATATATATATATATATACATATATATATACATTATATGTATATATATTACATCTTACTATGTGTCTACATCTGGAGCCTAAAAAATTCGTAAAGCTGCTTTGTCCAAACTACGACTATTCGCTATGTTCTTGTGCTGGAAGACTTTCAGTGCAAACTAGAATATCTTAGACCAGTGCTCGAATTTTGTTGCACTCTGAGTCGATTGTCGAACGTCACGCGTTAATTTCATTCATTCCCGGATCGAAATTACAGTTCTACATTAAATCTTCATAGGTTTTCTATGGTGCTCCTTTTGATATTACAAATTCTGTTCTCTCTACTTGAAGACTTAATGTAGAACTAATTAAGTAGATTTAACGTAGAACAAAAATTTCGACTCGGGTTTACTCGGTGTAATTAAACTACAGGTGTTAACTCGCCGTTCGAATCTTCTCGAGGAAGTAGCAGAATGTCAATGTCTTAGATCATTACAGTATATCGTACACCGCGGTGTGGAAAATACAACATAAAAGGCACTGTTACAGTTCCGGATCTACGATCTTCAGCTGAAACTCCGAACAATTATTTATCTAACGCTCTAACGAAATCGGGTGTCGTGTTGGCTGCAAAATCGCGCGGAATTGTCATCGTTCTTAAGTACCGAACTTTCGAAATACTTACAACATGTCGTAGCAAATTTAAAGGGACGTCGTGAGCTACATCAAATTAGCATTCGTCATCTCGAAATCTATGGTGTCATCTTTAAGTAGCATTCGCTTATCCTCCCTGGTGTTGCCCTGCTTTTTACCGCCACCCTTACGTTTGCCTCTGTTCTGCACGCCGTCCATGTCGTCCATCATGCGTACGATCTGCGCCTGATCGGAACTCTCGATCGGGGCGATCGAGATGTCGCGCACCGCTCGGAATTGACCGCAGTTGTTCAGGTGCTCGTTCTCTAAGCGGAAGAAGTTCCACACAAATCGTCTGAAAGCAGTTTTGCTGAGATGAGAGGAAGGTCACGGAGGGGAAATCTTCACGGATGGACTCGAACGGTACTCTCTCTCTCTCTCTCTCTCTCTCTCTCTCTCTCTCTCTCTCTCTCTCACCTGAACACCTCGAGAGGCGCTACTATGGAAGTCATCAAGTCACTGGATACGTATCCCCATTCGACCAGGAAGAAACTGGCGACCCACACAAATCGCAATATAAAATCTTCTATTATCGCGAAGTAGTAAAAGCCCTGCAAAACACACGCGAAGCATGTAACACCTGCCTCTTTTTGTGGTTTAGCGTTGCTGCGTTTCGCTACTTACAGCCGCCGAGTAAACCATCTCCTCGCGCAGAAATCGATTTTCACCGGCATTCGGGTCCAAAAGACCCCAATCCATCTTGAGATCCCACGTGTACGAATATATGGAGTTTACAAGGCACCAGAACAACCACGCCCACAAATATCCCGTTTCCTGCGAGCTATCCGGATAGTTCGCTGAAAATACGTATATTATCCTTCTCTTACGTGTATTCGCCCGCACACATACGGTGCTAACAAGTACATTAACAAGTTATGAAATGCACTGAAAGATATAATACATAAGAGAGATTTTGTAATTGACATTTAGTACGACGTACTTGCGTTATAGATGTACAAAGTGTTAAACAGGACAACGAAGAAGGTCGTGGCGTACTTTCCGGCGTTTACCAAGTGCGGAAACGCATCTCTGGAGTCCCGGTAACGACGGATGCATTGGGCGAAACGAAACCATGCCGGTAAGCAATTGACAATGGGTTTAATAACGAATAAACCGTAACCGGACGTGCAGTCCTTGCTGTCATTCTGCTGATGCCAGTCGCCGTTCGTTATGTAAAAGCATATCAGAAAATATACGTCGACGAACGCCGTCGCCAGACTGTTGAATTGATCGGCCAGCCAGAAATCGGCGAAGTTGACGTACGCGAACGGTGAGATCACGACGCGCATCTGGAAGGCGAAGAACCACGTTCAAACTGCTGTCCATTTTTTGTAACGTCGACGCGCAACGGTTGTACCTACAATGATCTTCAATAACCACAGACGAGCTTCGTGGTGAAATATCTTGAGGGGATTTATCAGGAAGGCCACCATCATGCAGACGAGCACCAGCGGATTTATATATGGCGGTATGCTGAGACTGGTGCTGTACAGAAAGCTCAGCAAGCTGAGCGTCCAAATGACCCCGAGGACAGCAGCCAGTTCCATGAGATGCTGCTCGGACAGGTGATTTCGCGGGTCCAATTCGAATATCAAAACGTGATTCACACCGGAAGATCTCCAACCGTAAACGTTGACTCCAATAAGGAACAGGAATTCGATAACAAGCAGGGGACCCCGGTACAGTCTAAACGCGATCTTCAGGTTTTCCCCGCCATCATGGAAGATAGCTTAAAGTAATCGAGGTTTGGACGCGTACAGTTGTGCAAATATTAACGTCGTAAATTATGACATGTAGAAGCCTGAGGAAATTTCGAGCTCGCGAGGAATTTCTTTTTGCAACACTAATTATATAGCGCAGAGAGACGACCGTTGTTCGCCCGAGTGTCGATTTTAATGTCTCGGAAACTCGCGTTGAAAAAAGTGCAATCGGAGTCGTGGCCCGGTCGAAGGTCGCAAAATGGAAATTTTCGGAGAAACTCGAAACTCTTTCTCAGAAGTGTCTGCCCGTGACAAGTGATCTTGCAGGTACCTGAGAGAACGACAGCAACTGCTAGAACAATGAAGCTTCCAGAAAACAAGCCGACCTTGAAGGTAGTCCACGGACTCTGATGCTCACCAAGCGGTGGCACCCGAAGACGCTTCATAGCACGCTGTCGATCCCCACCTTCCAGATCGTTCGTCACAGTAGCCTCAGTTTCCTGTATCAGTCTGTCTATGTCCTTGGAAGTGTAGAAGTGTGAGGTCTCCACGCTCTCGACTCTCCATTTTGAACCGGCGTCAACCGACAGTAACTGGAAACAATTATTGGCGGCACGTTACAGAGATCAAACTTGATTTGACGGCTAGACAACACAGACCATAAAGACAATTATTGATTTTTACTTGGTCATAGAGGGAATTTGGATTTTGTGTCATGCATAGCAGCTGGCTGTCGCACCACTGTTTTGCAATTACGAAGGGAAACAATGACAATGATATTGGGATTATTGTAGTCTCTGAAATTACACAAGCTGTGACTAATGAGCATAAAAGTACAAGAAACGTTGGGTAGCATCACCCTGTGCGAATACCTTATCATGTTTCTTGAGGATCTTGCGGAAGCCAGTGTGATTCAAATTCTGATAATTTTGAAGCAGGATTAGCGAAAGGTAGAATTCTGAAAATGCGAGCTTTAGCTCCCTCAGTTTTCTTCCGGGCAACAACGGCTTTGCGCTAGCTTTCTCTTTGTGCTTCCCGCCCCCCTGTTGCAGCTCTAGCGCGGTTTTCAACTCGCTTTGCAGAGCTGCATATTTGCGCGTAGCTTCTGCCAATTTTTCTGCGACAAGAATGGAAATGGTCGATGCAATCGTTTGCAGAAGGATTTTAAGACTACGAAGACAACTTCAGTGTCAAGGGAATTCTCACCAGAGAAAAATGTATTGATCTTCTTCAATTCACGATCGCAGAACGTGAAGAAGACTTCATCAAACGAAGCAAAATGACGGGATATCACTTCTGGTTCTACGCTTTCAACCGATGGCGCCTCTTCCACCGCTGTATAAAGCATTGCTTTCATCTCCTGTAGTAGATTCGAGAGAATATGATATATTTAAGAATTTGATACAAGATGAACGTTTTAGAGATTCTCTATATTTTATGTATATATTCTATAGCTCCATTGATACATTATAAATTGACATATCTGTAATAATAATTTGTAATAAGCCATACCTCATAACTAATATATTGCTTACGCCACTCAGGTGTTATATGAGCAGACAGATGCTCTGCAAACTTCATGTTGCCTCACAGATTGCAGCTACACGTATCTGAAAGAAAAATATAAGCTAGATGAGAATCCAAGAATCCAAGATAAAATTTTACTTGTAGATTGTAATTATACGTGTTACTGTATTTATAAATAAAAAAAAACGCAAGAAAAATCGTACAAAGTACACAAAAAGAGCACGGTCTGTCGGGATCAAACCGTTTGGGTACTCGCCTCAACTGATTTAAATCCTGAGTGAGGTTATAAACGCCATTTATATACCGAGGAGCTTTGTCGGCGGCGGCTGATCAAACGTTTTAACCTTCGATGTTTGGTGTGATGATAAATATTTAATCGTGGCGCAGATAAAACTATTTGGCGTTCGCCAGCTATAGGTGAGTCAACTGTCAAGAATCTCCGTGCCCGACGTTAATGAGAGCTCCGTTAAATCTAGAGCCAGTAATTCCTTCAAAATGAATGCTAAAGTGTTCTGGAAACTCTATGTTATTTTAGTCTTCGTATAATAAAATGTTAAGTGAAGTTTTAATACGTTTGACGATAAGGGAGAAATAATATAATTATGATAACGGTGCAATGTAGACGTATAATAACGTACGAAAACGATTGAAACGTCAAACCAACGGCAAAAGTATATAAGCGTGAAGAAACCTGATAGATCTTCGCGTTACCATTCCGAGCTTAACTGAACTATCGATTGGGCTAACTGATGTCCCCGGATTTATTGTTTGCTTTCTCGCATATCACTCGTACACAAATAGAACAACGTCGATGTTTCCCACGGGTCGTTTCGTCATATGTGTGATTACGTTTGTAAGAAATTCAAGAGAATGTTATCATGTAACATATTCCAAGTGTTTACGTATTCAATGACACGTCCAGAATAACGTTCCTGAAGCCAAGAGCGAGGACACTCGTGTGGAAGAATTAGCATATCACTCAAGTAACGCTATCAATCAATTACATATATCCTTTCAAGTAATATTACTATTTGAAAAGTAAAAATCTTTATCACTGAATTAAATTGAATTATTTATTTATTAAAATGTATCAATGAAAATACTAAATGTTTCTTTCTGATCTGTTGCTGAGTTTGTAATATTTGGAAATAAACGCTCGTCTAATTTGTCGTTGAACAGTACTACTCGGGACTAAATGCCTACCCTGCCGTTGAGTTGTACTATGATCTCGATTGAATAGTATGGGGATACCTTTCATATTTATGCCCTATACGGTCATTAAGAACGTGGTAGAAATCAACAGAAATAAGCAGTTTCGTATAACATTGAATATGTTTTATTTTATAGTCTTTGCATACTCGTTAAGTAAATGCGTATCTAACGACGTTTGCAATTTGTCGACTCGAGCCGACTCCAGATCATCGTATTACGTTCTGATTGGTGTATTCCTAAAAATGCAGATACACAGTTCAATCAGAACACAGCAAAATGAGCCCGAGTCGGATCAAGTACTGCGCTTAAAGCAGGTTCTATAATGAGAATTTAAGATTAAACCTTAAGAAATCGACCGATCACAATCGATTATTCCTCTCATATTCAATTGTGATTGGTCAATTTCTTAAGGCTTAAAGTTTAATACACCTATTGCAAACCAAAACTAAAGCGGGGTCTACAATGAGAATTTAAGAAATTGACCAATCATAATTAATTTTTCTTCTATAATTCGACGTGATTGGTCAATTTCTTAAGTCTTACGCCTTAAATTCTTATTGGGTGCGTTCGAGAAGACACTATTTAGCACTATCGCATCATTCTATTTTTATTACTCTTTACATGTATGTAAAGGATAAAATGACAGGTAGGGCTAAATAGCGTCTCTTCGAACGCATCTATTGTAGACCCCACTTTAATCGTCGATTAAATTTAAACCATGATGGTAGAAATAAGCATTATTGCGTACGCCTGTGATTGCAGCGCCGCGGTGTATTGTGCCCTCTGCAGGTCAGGTTGTGACCGGATGTCACTAGCTTAGTGAAAACACCGACGTTTCGTCCCCCAGGTCCCGCCGAACCTTTAGAAGGAAAGTGTTTCCCACGGATCCCGTTGCCCGTCCACGGTCGCCAGGGCGTTATTTTTTGAAAGCTTCGCCCAAACTCCAGGCCCGGGAAGCTGGACCGGCCAAGTCTCCCTAGATGCGCCTTTACTGTTAGGGGTTATATAGAGGGATTCCCTTCCTGATAGAGTTGTCGTCCCCGAAGAGATGTTCGGATCACCGGACGCTCGCCTCAGACACTGGATATGGGGATAGGGAAACGCGAAAGAATGAACACGTACCCCGTGAGAGCAAATAAAATGAAATATATTAAAAAAAAAATGAAGCAATAACAAAAAATACTGATCTATAAATCCTATAAGAGTAAAACGAAGTTAATGAACAGAATAGAATCGTGCGAAAGTTTGATGATAATTAACGCACTTGTTGGACACGGAATGAGTATGTACAGATGAGCGATGAATATAATGTAATGTGACAAATGATGGAAAAAATTATAATGAACGAATCTTATATAACTAATCTCCTGATATTACGCGGTCTAAGCCATAAAAAAAAATATATATATATATGTAAAATGTAATTATTCCACGGACCGATACGCCGATAAAATAAAACAATTATCCCCACGCGTCGTAGTTTGAGGATATTTTATTTTTTATCGATCTATCTCGACGCAGGACTGTCGTCGAGAACACGTCGGGACACGATCGGGCGCGCACGGCGGGATAACGTAATATGCGTCGCTTACCATACCGGGCAGCCCTTTGATCCCGCCGACGACGGGATTCTTTCTCTTTCAAACTTAGTTTTTCGGTTCCGATCACCGGTACCGCGTTTCGCGTCGAGCTTCCCACCGGATGCCTCGGTTCTCAGACGAAAAGTCTCAATTTTTACGGAAAGTTACGAGGGGGAACTGTGGCAATTTTATAGCCCACTTACCGTCGCCAGGCGATCGGTCGTTTCCCCGCGTCTCCCTGGGCCTCCACCAGAAGATTTGCACCAGGACATCTCCGCCAGCGACTCCTCCAGGGTCCTTTTCTTTCCTGCGTAGTTTTCTGCCTCTCTGAATCTGCATCCTCTTGCTTCCCGCGTCTGCATGCTACTGCCCGCCTTTCCTTCTTCTTCAATTTCAAATGTTCTCTCCTCTCCGCGACGCTTCCCGATTCGCCGGTGGCCCCCGCCAATCACAATCGCCCCTCGCATTCGTGTTCGTTTAAGTCTGCGGTATCCCTAGACCTATTAAGGCTGTTCTTATAGGGTCAAATAAACTCTTCTTTTATCATAAAACTATTTCTTTATAATAACTGTTCTTTTAAAACAAAGTAAACTTTTCTTGTAAAATAAAATTGTTCTTGTAAAATCGGAATAACAAAACTGTTTTTGTAACGCCACTATCCCTGTTAAATAAAAAATGAGCTTTTCTGTAAATGGACTTCGTGGACTTCTTAATCTTGTTCTCTTTCTTTCGGTGGCCTTCCTCTTCTTCTGTTCCGCCGCTCCTCCCTCCGCGGCTGATCCTCCGGTTGCAAGGTCCGTATCCTTCACGTTATTAAATTGAGATCGTTATACGACTCAATAGGTCTGTTCTTTTTCGCTGCACCGCTGAACTAGTGCAATAAGTTGAAGCGAGACAAATATATGTTTTCTCACTTTAACTTATTGTACTAGTTCAGTGGTGCAGTGAAAACGAACAGACCTAATAACATGTCAGCAGGATTCCTTATTTTTCTATAGTATGGTCGAGTAGCAAGTCAGGTGAATCTCTATAAATTTTGATGAACATCAGTGTCAACAACAATATTAATACAATCTATCTAATTTTTTATTGTATTTATCGAAGTTCCCATCAAAGAAAAATAAAATCTCGTTTTATATGTTACAAAAATAAGATATAATCTGCATTTACTGGCTGAAATAAGGTAAATTTTTGTTCAAATGTGCAAAATATTGTCTGTATATTTACATATTAGTAAGTTTACATTTATTAGTTAATATAAATAAGTTTTTATTCAAGTAAGATATATTTGTGGTATATACATTTAAATAATATTTTAAAACAGACATATTTACATATAAAATTAGGATCTTTTATGATGATGTATCAACGTTATAACTATTACAACTATTTACAAATCTCTATTTCTATTAATATTAGTCTTATTTATTAATCAACTTATTTATCAATAAACAGTATAAAATATATATACATATATATACATATATATGTATATATATGTATATATATATATATATTTTTTTTTTTTATCTAATTTATTATTAACATACATATTGATATAATACATATATTATATAATATTAATGTAATGTTATATATTATGTAATTCCTAAGTGCTTATTTTTCCTTTTAATATTATGAAATGAAAGATGAAGTTAATGATCTCATCTTTTATTTCATAATCAATTCAAAAGGAAATGAAAAATGGAGTGTAGAGAGATATACCATGTGTGCATACATGTATTGCTAATATATATTATCAATTATTAATATATCGTTAATATGTTATTATGTTTTAGTATATATATTTTTTTAATACATATCTGTACTTTCTTTTTACAGCTTTTTCCAATAGAGAACAAAAGTCAGTAATACAAATAAATATTTAATATGCGCTTTCTATTATTGTTACTAGTTGTATTACATATCGCAAGCTTTAGCATAGCATGGCGCAATTTCATGAGAGGCCGAGGTAGAAATGGTAATTTAGGAGAGCCAATTTTGTCATCTGAAGATTATAATCCTCCTGAAGAACAGTGGTTTGCACAGCTGTTAGATCACTTTAATCCAACAGATATCCGTATGTGGATGCAGGTAACATAAGATACACTCCGTTATATTTTCACATGTATTTAATATATGCATATGTTTTTCCAGAAATATAAATTTCCTTATTGTTTCAGGTCACTGTTATATTTATAATATGTCGTTTCTTTGCAGAGATACTTTATTAATTCAGATTATTACAAACTCAATGGCCCTATATTCTTGATGATCGGAGCTGAAGGTGAAGTAAAGCCTAAGTGGCTGGTAGAAGGTCTATGGATTGATTATGCCAAGGAATTTGGTGCGATGTGTTTTCACTTGGAGCATCGTTTCTATGGAAAAAGCCACCCTACTGTGTATGTTAAGTGGAAAATCTTTTAATGCTAGGAGGACAAAATTTACAGAGATCTACGACTTACGTTCTCAATACTTGGCAGGGATCTCAATGTAAAGAATTTGGTGTATCTAAATTCGGAACAAGCTCTAGCGGACTTGGCGTACTTCATTCACGCCGTTAATATCGCATACAAGTTTCCAAATGATACAAAATGGGTCGTATTTGGGGGATCATACGGTGGTTCTCTGGCTGCTTGGATGCGAGCTAAGTATCCTCACTTGGTGCACGGTGCGGTATCTGCGAGTGGGCCATTGTTGGCACAGATCGATTTCCAAGGTAGGTAAGAATATAGCACTTTAACAAGTACGCTGTGTACACACGAACAGTTCAATGTTGCAGAGTACTATGTTGTTGTGGAGGATGCTCTGAGGCAACATTCTCAACAGTGTGTCGACGCGATAGCAGATGCCAACGTGGAATTCCACGCGATGCTGCGTCATCTTGTCGGTCAAAAAAAATTAGCTGAAAAGTTCAGGTGAGCTGTCGGGTCTTGTCGGAATGCGGAATGCATCGATCGTAACATAATCTTTGTCTAACGAGTTATCTCTTATAGATTATGCGACCCGATTGATCCTGGACATACCAAGAAGACCGACATTTCCAATCTGTACGAATCATTAGCGGGCAATTTTGCTAGCGTTGTACAGTACAACAAGGACAATCGGCAAGATTCTAAAACCGTTAACATCACCGTCGATATCGTATGCGACGTATTGGCAGACGATAAATTAGGGAGATCGGTCGACAGGCTCGCTTACGTCAACAGCATGATATTAAATGCTACCAAGGAGAAGTGTTTGGATTATAGATACATCAATATGATTCATGCACTTCGAAACGTCACTTGGGCGAGTGAACAAGCGGAAGGAGGTGCTTGAATTGATCGCTTGTGCATTTTCATTACTGGATTACTTCTGAGTGCGCGTCGACAACAAAAATGTTAAATGTTCACAGGACGTCAGTGGATGTATCAGACTTGCACAGAGTTCGGATTCTTCCAGACCTCAACCGCACGGCCGAAATTGTTCAGCGACACCTTCCCGGCGGACTTCTTTGTAGAGCAGTGCGTCGATATCTTTGGACCCAAGTTCGTTCTCGCTTTTATATTATGCACCCAATGAGCAGGCTTGGGAATGTTACTTGAGAAAAGTAATTCGTTATCGTTATTCAAAAAGTAACGAGTCATTATTAATTTCATCGAGCTTTGAGAACCGTTTTTTCTTCAAGATTCGCTTCTGCTAGTTTCATATACGTGTGTATTGTACTTGTGCGAAGTAACGACGAAAGTAACGATTGTACTGGCTACCGTTATGCAAAAAACGTCACGTGTTATCGTTACTAATGAGAAAATGTAACGTCGTTACCAAATCGTTACCGAAGAAAAGTAACTGCAACGGTATCGACGTTACAAGTAACACGTTACTTCCCAACCCTGCTAGTGAGTGTGACTCGCTAATACATTGAATGAACATAACAGAACTTATCTTCTTTTTTTGCAGATATAACTTAGATTTGTTAAATTCCGCTATTACTCGCACAAATCTTCTGTACGGTGCGTTGAATCTATAAGCGACAAACGTAGTATACGTGCATGGTTCCGTGGATCCTTGGCATGTGCTGGGTATCACGCAGTCTTCCAACCCGCAAGCATCGGCCATCTATATCAACGGTAAGTACAAAATATCATAAACACCCGTCTGATTTATTAACCTGAACGCACTTCTGTGATTTATTAATACTCGAAGGCACGGCACATTGCGCGATTCTGTACCCACCGTCGGAAAAGGATCCGCCACAGCTGAAGCAGGCTAGAATACAAATAAAGAACCTGATCAAACAATGGCTGGACAATTGAGCCTTCTCTCTCTTTCAGTACGATATTATATACGTAGCAAGGATGAAGAAAAATAATAACAAGAATGTTTATACTATTAAGAGAAGAGTACGAACTCTTACGAATGAAATTCATAATATTAAGTTATTAATATTCTGTGAATATCTTGGCTGTAATTTGGCGAAAACTGCATTTTGGATTTGTTTATTTTTTTCCTTTGTTATTGCGCAGGATAAATGAGGATTAATATATACGTTTATATAAATATGTTTATTTTCTAAATCTTTATATATAATGTGAAAATTAAGTCTAACGATATATATATATATATATATATGCAACGGTCTACTTACGAATACGTTAACATCCATAATATCATGTACCATGTTTGAATGACAAAACCGCTCGTTCGACTTGGATCAAACGAGTTTGCCCCAAATGGCACTATCATAATTTATACCGCGATAAATAGAGTTAGACAAAGAAATGCATGTACAAAGTTATCCCGCGTAAAGTTATCTCAGTCAATAAATAAACGTTAACGTTGTTGTGAGAAAGTTGTATTATACTTACTAATTACATAATAATTTCAATGAGCCGCTCGGGAGAAACAATGACGTACTACAGTAGAATCTAGAGAGTTATGCGTTACGTATTTATATTACAAGAGAACTCGGTAGTAGCATAGTAATATATATTAGCAGGTATAACGTTAGAGCGATTCGCGAGGCGCATGGGAATTTTTTTCCGCGAGTGCCTTCGTACATTTGCCGTCGGACGCGCGCCGCATTTGACGCGGCGCGTCTCTTTGATTCCTGAATGGATAACATCGGCCTTCCCTTAACGACACCTATATGCAGCGTCCCGTTTGTCTGGAAACATAGCGATCCTTTTAAAGCGAGGCCAAGGTACCCATAACGGATATGAATTTCGCCGATATCGGTGGCGCCGACATCCCTTGGACGTCGTCGTGCTTCTCCAAATGTAAAAACGTGAAATCCCCGGGTTGTTGTCTTACAGTAACCTTACCGTTAAGCGTTACATTAACATCTGTTTGATCATTATTACAATATTACTTCTTTGCTGTTTTTGGCATGTCCTCTGCGATCCAGCTTCTACCACCTTCCTCGATGACGACTCGCCGTTCTTAAGCTTACGAACTACCTCTGTGTGTATGTGTGCGTGTGTCGTTAAGGGCTACTTCTTACCAGCTACAATTGTCATGTATTTACATCTCGTACGGCGAGAGCGACGATAATATAAATAATTTACGACGTAAAACAGAACAATACGTATGCAGGATCTACATCCCGGCTCGTTTCTGGATTCCCGCGTCTGGGCTACAGATTGCTGGAGTATTCGCCGTGCGCCCTCGTTCAAAGGTGGACCCTTCGAAGCCGCGTTTGCTGAACGTTCACTACAGGCTCCCTACGTCCTTCCTACGTCCTTCCGCCTGCGAGATCGCGCGCAGACGACCGTAGCGACCGTAGCGAGTCGAACGACAGAAAGTCTCTCGCTCGTCGTTTCTTCTCGACCCTTTAGTATCTATGGTGGGACTGCGACTGTCTCCAGTCGGGCGTCGCGCTACCGTGATGGTGATGATGGTGGTGGTGATGGCGCTTCTTGTCGGAGATGCTGGCGTGCTTGCTGGACGGGTACGCGGCCACGTCGCTTACGACCAGCTCCGAGCCGTCGCGCTCGGTGTTGTTGCCGGTGCGGAAGTTCTCTCGGTATCCTGGTTCATCCAGGGTCTCCTTGCGACGGAGCGGCGGATGGCCGGCCTTGTGGCCGGCGGTCTCGTGCAGGTTCTCCCAGGCTTGACGGTAGTACCGATTCAGACCTCCCCGGCTCTCCGACGAGCTGCTGTCGAAGCTGGCTACGGTGTTGCAGTCGGGCGACGCACGGTGACGATAATGCTTACTGCTTCTTCCACGGTTTCTACGTAGAGACAGGGTTGAGTTGCGTTAGTCATTCTCTTTATCTCTCTCTCTCTCTCAGTGTCGGCTCGGCCGTCTAATTGCGAGAACATTTCTCACTGCTCGGCACCGAGGGTTTGCAGTAGGCGGCGAGAAGACAGGCAGCAAAAGCGCTATGTGCAGTGGAGAAACGATCGGATCGGCTCATCGCGAGTGACGATGACGTCGTATGATGTGAGTTCAGCGAGCGTCATCGAGTCTCTATGCCCCTTCAGAGAGGGAGAGAGCGAAGTAAGCACGAATCCGACCGTTCCGCTTTTACATTTGGCTACGTGAGAAACCTCTACTCTTATATTGCTACGACCCGAAGCAACCTCCGAAGCGGTACGATCAACGTGAAGGTAGAAGGCGGAAATGGGACGAGCGCTAACGTGGTGCAAACGAGAACTTGGTGTGGCGCGGAGTGAGGAATGTAAATCGTGTTCAGAGAGCACTCTGAGAGAGTAAACGGGTGCGTGATCAACGTGATCTCGAAGGGATAACATGGGAGAAGATGCGAAAAGAAAGAGCACAATGTACAGGAACCATCTTCCGTCGTGGTTTTCGCGCGACACTCAGGACTTCCGAAGTCGTAATTCGCCGCGGCTAGCTCGGTCTGATTCCGAGAATCTTCAAGTTGATTCCCGAACTGGTCGCATTAGTTCAAGAAGGATACGTTCCGATATCGACTAAAAATCCATAATATACGTAAGGATCTTAGCAGAATGACTGACTTGCAATCCCGGACAGCAAAGGCAGATTCTGGGCAGAGGCTGCTGCGAGTTTTTGATGCCAGGAAGGGAACAGATTCAACGCACGATCTGTTCCATCTGATTACGTCGCAAACTGCCAAACCATCAGAAACGTGACAGAACATGACAGGTAACGCGACCAGAGATTTACAGTGTTGACACTTTGGAGATGCAGCCCTTTTTCAGCTAATGTCGCCAGTTCCGGAATGAAGAATCGTTCGTCTGCGAGCTTGCAGAAGGCCTGAGTACGCGCGAGATTGATCCGCGCGCAGGGGATGTTGGTGCGGCCACCGGTGCGTGTTCACCACCAAGCCCCGTCATCTAATTCATAGGCGTGACGTAATTGTGCGACGCGGTGGGACGCAGCGGTACGTGAAACGCGTGGAAAGTTTCGGGACGAGCTATCGCTAAAGAAGGTGCTTCAAGTAGAAAACTCTTGCTCTCGTTTACCTTGACTAGTATCACTCGCGAAGGTGGCGCGTGGTAGTTGGTGGTACGTGATGATGGTTGATGTGGTGGGCGGTGGTTGCGTGGAGGGTTGGGGTGGTAGTGGTGGTAGTAGTAGTAGTTGCGGGCTTTATAGGGAGCGGTTCTCTCTCGCTTTCTCTCATTATCGGCGGCGGTGGTGGTGGCGGGGGTGAGAGGGAGGGACGGCGACGGCGGCGACGGTCTACAGAGAGGGATTTGAGAAGTAGCCGGCACGGTGTGCCGCCGACAGGCTGAAGGAGTAAGGGTGGTCGCTACCGCGGCGTGCCGTGAGGTCGCGGCGCCCCAGGTGCTGGTCGGGGAAGGGCAGCGCGAGTAGCGTATACCAACGCGAGGGCATTCCGGTGTCGCCCCTCCCAAGGCCACCACTACCGCCACCCCTCAGCGCACCAACCCCACCGAGCCCCCTGCGGCGCCTTCCTCTGACGCTGCCACTGCCGCTAACCACCGCAACGCAAACGGAGCTCAGTGTTAATCGTCGTCCTGGGAGGCCAGACCATCTCCGTCTGACGCTACGTCTTAGATCTCTCAACGCGTCTCATCAGAACCAATGTTTCTCAATTACGTATCACTCGTGGCCGTGCCTCTCGAGTTCTTCTCGTTTACATTTACGTTCGTCCGCCAACTCGTACTTCGGATCTGTAGTAAGTGCAGTGAGCATTTTTAGCCTTTTGCTCTGAACAATAAAATGTTACGTGATTCTTGGCAAAAGGCGTTTCTCACGCTTGCAAAAGTCGCAATAACGCTTAAAGGTGTGTTGCCTATAAGTTAAAATTATGAAAAAATTATGAAAAAATGACAAACCTCTATGTATATATATATATATGTGCGTGTGTGTGTGTGCACATCATACATACATACACATACATACATATGTATACACACATTGCCTATAAAAAAACCAAAAGTTTAAAAGTGACATCACTAATAGGCAATACATTTTTAAATCTTGCGAATTTCAACGTCCGGTAGCGCTGAAAACGCTCTTTGCTAAAAATTATGTTACAACTTAGTGCTTAGACCAAAAGGCTGAAGAGTTACTACACCTATTGTAGATCCAATTTCACAGTTATCGTTAGTGGACGAGAGAAAGTATGGGATGACTCGCTGATAAATTAATGCTACTGCTTATTAATGCCATTAACTCTGAGTAAATTTGCTACGATTCTTAAAGAAACAGCCTTATAGCATAGCCTTGTGGCTTGCACGAGTGACACTGAGAATCATTGTTTTGGACAACGAGCCACAAATTAGCGGGATTCATCACGGAGCGACTCGCCGGCTCGCGACAATCGCAGCTCCCAATCGACAGCCGAGACATTCGACGAGACGCGCAATTTGAGGCCACGTCGTCCGCGGGTAAGTTCTTCATGCTAAATTACAGGAAGCTTCATGATCGATGAGCGAAGGGTATCTATAGTACTAGCGGTAAAGTATACTATCATCTCCACGCGGCTCTACTCGCGACTCGGCATGTCACGGATGTTGAGGGACTCGTTTGTTACACCGAGACTCGTCGGCTCCGAAAGAGATGTACACGCGACTTCGGTAAGCATGGGCGAGAAATCATACTCTATAGAGAGAGATACAATGCAGCGTATTATGTATCACAAGTTAGGTAGAAGACAGAGACAGGTGGACGAGCGGGTATAGAGAGAATAGTATGAAACAAATACAAGGGGGCAAGCGATACAATGTACAGTTCCGCTCGAACGTCGTCTATGTATATATAAAGGTGCGCTACGGTATCATCAGAGAGAGAAACAGACAGACAGAGGAGGGAGATCGACGCGGGCGAGGACGACGATCCTTACCTGCGTATGAGTATCACCACCGTCGTGATCACCGCGGCGAGGAACACGAAGCCGCCGAACACTCCCAGCGCGATCACGGCGCCAAGATTCAGCTTGGCCTGGTGAGCGCCGCTCGGCTGCTCGGCGCTGTCCACCCTGAACGGGCCGGACGGTTCCGGCACGGCCGCTCCGATCCCCGCCTGGGCGTGATCGACTCCGCTCCCGGATATCTCATTGTCCTGCGGATGATCGGCGTCGTTCAGCACCGTCGGCGGCGCCGGTTTGTTCAGCCCGATGCTCGGCCTCTTCGACACAGTCTCCCTCACTGTGGCCGGCAGTTCCGCCGTGTTGGCTACGTTCCGGGGCGGCAAGGAGGTCGTGCTGCTGGTGGCCACTGTGGGCGAGCTCGTCGTCGTCCTGATACGCGGTGTCAGGTACGGCCGGACCTTCGGGGTCGACGGACGTGCCGTCGCTCGGGAGGGAACGGTCACGGTTGTCCGTGGCTCTTCTGAAATGAAGAATGGAGATTGCCGTACGCAAGAGATGGAGATTTTGGTAAAAAAATACGACAAATGCAATAATAAGCCTGTTCGTTTTAATTGAATTAAGGCTGAACTTCGTTCCTCTTCCCTTCAACGTTAACACTTTAATGACCGCTCACACAACATGTGTGTGATGCTACCGCCGAAGAAAATATTGCCGGCCCCTGGCGACGTTTGACTGCGTAGACGTGCGGCCATTAAAGTGTTAAGTTATACGATTGTTTCCCTCTAAAGGCGAGAAGTGCAATCTAGTTCGGTTAAGACGAACAAACCTAATGAGTAATCCCGAAGGGATTGAACATAAAAATATAACGAAATATATTTCCTCATTTTTAATTGACCTTTTTAATTAACGTTTTAAATTAGATCCTCTCTTTTGTTATATTTATTTATATTATAAAATCACGTACCTGTGCATGTGGGTGCGACATGATCGTACAGTCCGGTAGTCAAGCAGAGTATCTGCCGGAAACCGACGAGCCGGTAGCCTTTCTCGCACGTGTAAGTGACGATGCTACCGACCAGCAGGCTCCGGTTGAAACTGTTCCTGACCGGGACGCTCTGGTCTTCGTCGATCTCCTCCACATGAATGGTGCTGTGCGCGACCACAGCCGGGGGATCGCAAAGTATCGGCTCGCATCGCGGCGGCGGGCCGTTCCAGCGTTCGTCGATGTCGCAAGTTAATCGGGCGCGTCCTGCAATCGCGGATCAACTTGCAAGCCTCATTTATACAGAATGTTATTATAATGCGCACATTCGATAGTCCGAGCATAGGACTTATTGCAATCCAAGAATCTAAATTATCTTTTCGTCATCAGTTTAGTCTTGATTTCATATTTTACTTATTTATGTTATCTTTAATTTATATCTTTCCTTATCTAAATTTAATCACATTTTTTGCAGCTTCTCCGAAGCTTCGATATTAATTAGCGATATTATTTAAGTCTGAAGCTACTGTTAAAGCAAAAGCTACCTACGTTAAGTAAAGAATGTTAGATAAAATTTCGACATTCGTATTGCCATGCAATTCTCTTCAAGTTCTTCCGTAAACGTTGCGAATAATTACGAATACAGAATTGCAATTGGCCGTTAGGCTTACCGGTCATCTCGTAGCCCTCCTCGCAAGAGTAGAGTACTTGACTGAGGTAACTGACAGTATTATTAATGAGTGTATAACCACCGTGCTTAATGCTCGCGGGATAGCCGCACTCGATACCTAAAACGAGAAGAACGAAAAAAAAGAAGTATGAAGGAATCATCATATTTCGACGATTCGACGCTTGCGAGCTCGATTGGCCCCTTACTTTTGCACACCGGTGGGAAGTCGTTGTAGAAGCCGGTGTCGAGACAGGTGCGGGTCCCCGGCCCGATCAGAAGATTGCCCGCGTTGCAGTTGTACTCCACCGTCGTCCCGACTTCGTACGCGCTGGTGAAGTTCGGGCTCCGGGGTGTCTTAATCACCGTCATCGTAGAATTCGGCGGCTGCTCGGGTCTGCCACAAGCTCGTGGTTCTACGAGAATGAATTCGTAATCATCAGAACGGCGTTTGAGGCCCCCCAGTGTCCTCGTCGTGGCTATTTTATGATATTGAAACGAGGAAACGCCCAGAATTCTTGCAGTATATATTAACACATAGTGAAAAGTTCCATGTTAAATTTGATACATTTTACATGTTCCAAACGATCTATACGATTTAAACGATCTATACAAATTTTTGTGTTGATTTAACACAAGGTGAATATGTTGAAAAATAACATAAATATTACGTCGAAAATTAATACAAAATTAATACCCATAATATGTTAATCGACACTGAAGTATGAAATGTGTTATTTTAATATTTATACACATTGAAAAACTCATAAAGTATTAAGATAACATAAACACAATATGTTAAATTAATACATGGATATGTTAGAGATGTTAGAGAGTTAACACGAAAATTTTAACAAGAACCGGCTTTAACACAAGTACAAAACATTTCTTGCTGTATATATTCAGATAAGAAGATATACTCTCAAAAAAAAAAAACATTTGTGATCGATTCAGCATACACTTGCAAAATACTCCCAACAATTTCCTTTCGCTCGATCAGTCGATAAATAATCGTAAAATTAATGCGACAAAATCATGAGGAAATATAGGTTCAAAAGGAAAGTTGCACGTCTCATATTAATTTTACGATTATTTATTCATGTTAGAGCGAAAGGAAAGTTTTTATACTTAGAGCGAAAGGAAGAGAAGGAAAGAAAGTTTTTATACTGTAAGAATTCTAGGCGTGCGTTTTCTCGTTTCTGACATCATCCAATAAGACGACTGCAGCGAGAGACCAACGAAGGATCTTAAAAAAAGAAACGGGAGCCTCACGAGACGATACTTACGATGTTGGCAGATGAAATTCAGCCGGGCTGTGCAAGGCGTATCGGTCCAAAGCCAGCCTCTACCACCGTCGTATCGAGCGCAGTCGTTTGTACCTTGAGGTAAGTCCCAGAACGAGACAGACACCACTTCGCCGCTTGCGGTCCACCTCCACAACGTCCGATCCTTCAAGTCCCTAACCGCGCCCATCCAGTACTGACTGGATGTGTCGCTCCTTCGCCAACGACCGACAGAATTTTCGTTATTGTAACCGAGTAAATTGTGAACAAATATAATATGTAATATATATAATAATATTGTAATTCTTTGAGAAGGTAATATGTTACTGCTTAACAAATAAACTTGATTTAATTTCACATTTAATTCAATTTACTCCGATTTCATTAATTTAAGCACACGCAATTATTTTCTTTACGAAGAGAAGTAAATGTGGCAAGTTTTGACTGAGCACACGCCGTGAATTGTTCTAAATGAATTTTTCTACCCTTGGAAAAAAGCCTAAAAAGGAAAAATTTTTCCGCGAAAAAATGGAAAAAATCGAGGTATTTTTTAAAAATATAGGTTCTACCAGGTATATCGATTCATTTAAGCGGCCTCGCGCATTTCGAATACCTGTGTCGCCTCCATAGCTCCCAGGAGATGAAGCCTTGCAGAGCAGGATTGCTCTCGTCCACGAGACTGCCGCCTCGATTGCGGCAGAAGGCCAGAGCATCTTTGAATACCAGCTGGCGATTGTAGAATATGTAGCACTTTCCGTTGTAGGTCGCCGTCGATCCCGGCGGTTGGTCCCGGAATTGAGGACACCTCTCGATCGGCAGTGCCTGCGTTTCATTTTTCGCGAGATCAGTTACGGGCGATGTGAAGCAAGCAGTGCGCGAAAATTCACTCCCGCTTCCTCGGCCGCCGTTCCGAGCGCTTTCGCGTCTCGCGTAGCCGCCAAATCGCGATATACCTGATCGGTATAGACGAACGCCTCGCACAAGGAGAGCTGCACTGGGATGTCGTCGGCCTCCAGGTGCACCGAGACGAAAGCTCCTGGCATCGGCGGGTTGCAGGGCAAGAAGAGCGGCTGTCCTTCCTCCAGTGGCCCGTTGAACCGATTGCAAATCGGATTTATTCCTAAGTCTGGCCGATTGTTGCCGACTCGGACGACGATAGTGCCGGGGATACCGTCACCTGCGAACAGTTTAAACCGATTACTCATCAGTCGAGATTCGATCCGAGATATTTCGATACCCGTGTCGAAATCGTGGCTCTACGTTAAGCTTTTTATAACCCAGAAACGCGTGGAAAAAACAATTCCATTCGTGTAACTGAATTTTCCATTGCCTTCTGGGAGACCAGACGAGAACTCGGTTGTATGGGGACAAAATGATCCCTGGAAGGAAGTTCAGTCAGGACCTTATAATGACCGACTTGTCAGTTCAAAACAATATTTTATGCCTTGAGTCTTTGTATTAAAAAAGTGCACAATGATTGGCTTACATTTGGAGTCTTAAATTAAAAAAACTGATCTGTTTGTGATCGATAACAAACTATTGTAAAATTAAATTAAAAAATTAAAAAATGTAAGGAAAGAATAATTTAGACAAAGATTTATGAGATATAGAATATTGTCTTATAATTACAAGTCAGCTATTTTGCTAAGACCTTCAATTGCTTTCAGTTGTCCTAACCGATGGCCGCGTTCAGCAGAAAAAGCAGCTTAATAAGCGCTTAGTGCCAGCAGCTTTGCAACTGCTATAAGGTTTTCTGCTGAACGACACCAGCGGTTCACACATTTCCGACATGTTTGCTGAGTGATCGCCATTTTTCCCAGCATACTTTTAATACGCTGGATCGTTTAGTGAACACGTTGGAGCAACGTAAATTGCTAAGTGTCGTTCAGCAGAAAATCTTACAACAATTGCAAGGCTGCTAGCAGCGCAGCGGAGAGCATTTACCAGCTGATTTTTCTGCCGGAGATGCAGACAATGCAGCTGAACGTTCATCACGAATGTTCTCAGTTGCGATAACAGAGATATCATTTCTTGTCACCGAGTTTTCATCTGATACCTGTTCAGGAGTTCAAGAACCGAGCTTTTTTTTCGTATAAGAACTATGATAGCAAAACAGGTTTAAAAAGTTTAATAATATAATTTACTTCTACTTCGACTCCGATGATGTCTTAAATTTTTATTCTGTTTGTGTTGTTTTAACGCAGGATGTTCAAGGTAGCATTAAAATTCAATCTAAAGAATTGAAATTGATAAACTGTCGTTAAGAGCGTCAAGGCAGCATCAAAATTTCGACTCGGATAATTGCACGGACGTCAAGATTCGTTAAGAAGATTCACCGGCATCCTCGGCCGTAACATTCCTGTTTTAAGTACGCGAGCAATCACAGAGGTTTACGACCCGGAACATGGTATGAGTCGTGTTGATGCAATTTTACCGGAGAAAAATCCAGAGGAGATTGTTTGCATCGCACGATGACCGCGGCGAATCTCAAGCAAGATCACCGGCGCTCATGAACGCGCGGGTAATTAACGGTATACGACACTGAATGTCGGTTTCATCTGTGTCAATAAGCCGCGCGATAATGCATGCTACGTGGCCAGTGGTAAATTAAAATACAAATCGAGAGGCTCCTATTTAGACGGAACGACTTTCAAACGGTACAAGAACAGCTCACGCGTATGCAACGTGCGCGGCGCAGTTTTGACTTCACATCGCCGCATTCGTGTCACCGCTTCTTTCCAGAGACATCAGTACGGCGTCCCGTGATTTTACAAACACTTTACGAGCTTAACACACTTATCCCGTACTTATCGCGCCACTTACGGGACCCATTCCCACTTTGCTTCTTTTTTTCTTTCGAGCGTATCAAGTGTAAACGTGTGATAATTATACGTCCGGATAGTAAAATCATCGGCAACGCTTCCCTTTCTAATACGATAATTTTACTAGAACACATATAATCAAATTTCGCATGACTTTCTAACGAAATCGCCGCAAAGGGATTAAGTGCGCGATAGTCGCTATCAATTGCATCAACTTTTACTTTAATTGATCGTATTCAATTAACCGTAAGTAAGGCGCGTGATTTTTTTCTTTTTTACGTAAGTGTTCGCATGGGAATCAATCTGATCCACATTTTAATTGATTTATATTCTAAGTATGAATAAAGTTTTTCATTTTCATTTATAAGTAATTATAAACAGACTTGTTTTGAACATAAAATAATAATTTTTAAACATTAAAAATGAGAAAAAGTTCATGTTTTTTTTAATATTCTTTTTCATAATATATTTGGATAGTGAATGCAGCTAGCAAGTTACATAGTAAATGCACATACAGATACTTAAAATCGGAAAATAATTTTAATTATTATTGCACTTCAGTTTAAAGTACAAGCATACAGAATATATGAATATTATTTAATAATGTGATTGTTTAAAGCTAAAAATATTTTTGAAATTGGATTATTATCATATTTCTTTTATAGAAGTACATGTTTGATTCTTTGCGCATTAATTTTTCAAATAAAATTGTTACAAAAATAATTAAATAAAATTTATATACGTATTTATTATTAACAAATTATTATAAATATAGACAAAAATCATTATTATTAAAAAGAACTGAAAACTTATTAATAGACATTTCAAAACGAAACATATTAAGTTTATATTGTAAAAATTAATTTAAAGTAAAAAATCAAAGTAAACTAAAAATAAATTTTTTATAATTGATAATGTGTGTATAATGCAACAACACTATTTTAGTCTATCTTATCTCATCTGATGAATCTGAAGAAATTTTCGACATAAGGTGCCGAATTTTTTCGTTTCTCTGTTTTCATCGTCCATTTTCTCATTTTTGTGAATAAAACTTCTGAAAATGCCAAAGAGATTATAGCTTTAAATTTTAAGCTGTAACATATTTGTTACATTAACTAGACTTAATTTATAATCATTAATTAATTATTATTAAATTATTTGATAAAAGTAACTTACATATCGCAAAAAAGTGTATTAAACAATACGCTGAAATAAACCACGAAAAGTTACATATATATATTTGCATAAGGATCAAAGGAACCGAAGAAATAAATCAACCGCTATTTATAGCTCGGATTCGCGAGTGTTATTGACGCCACTTTGCCGAGAATAAACGATGCAGAGGAGATACTGAAGAAGGCGCCAGCCTTCCAGACAGAAACGAAACGGAGAAACATTCATTTGTTCACGTTTGACCCCTGCGCGTCCACTTACTACGGGTTAACAGACTCCTCTCCTCTCTCTCGTGACCGGTGATGAGACGAAAACAAATTACACGGCGCAGAAACCCCAACCGACGTCGATATCACGACGATGCCAGTTTCCAAAGTCATTCAGCTTAATTAGGTCTCGAGCTGCACGCTCCGTTGACGTATATCGGGTTAATGTAAATCGAAGGCCACGAAGGGCTTTCACTTGCGGTTTAGTTTAGAGGGGTACAACAAGCGCTCGCGTTCCCGCGTAGTGGCCGATTACGGGCGTAGTATCTGGACAGATAAAATCGTCTCCGGCAATCCGGCAAGCGCCACATCTTCTGACCCAGAAAGTATCGCGGCTGTGACGAGCGCGAACGGGACGGCCGGCCGGCCGGTCGTCCGCTCGTACCTGCAAGCCGCAATTACATGCTTTCCACGTTTGGTCCCCGCGATCGCGTCGCGTTCGGACCCGCGCCAACGACGGTCTGCTGTTCGGTAAAATCACCGAGGTAAGAGGTACTTACGCGCGCACGCGGCGCACGTACGACGGCGCGGGTACTTTCTCATTGCACGCGTGAGCCGCTATTCTCGCCTCTAATGAGCGAGCGGACATGCGGCGCGCGAGGAGCGGCGCATGAGATAAGGGAGAAACTCTTGGCATCGGAGGAAGGATAAGGATTGTTTCGCGCGCGCGCGCGCGCGCGCGTGTGAAATCAGTCGAACCGGTTGGCAAAAGCCGCCTCCCCCGATATTCACTCGCCGATATGGAAAATTTATAATAGGCTGTATTTAAATTTCTGTGTTGAAATTTCCCGAAGTGGAGTGTCACCCGAAACCCCCGAGAAGAGACGGTATTTTCACTCGAAGCGACGGTGAAAATACCGACGCACTCGAAATCGCAAGAGTGAACGTTTCATTCCAGCTCAGAGTGAATCTGACTCCGTATGAGCGGATGTTTCAATCGATCAGTGATTATGCTTTTGGGACGGTATATTAGACTCGCTCCCTTCAACTTTGAGTGAAAATGTTCACTCGACATGTTCAGAGTGGACAGAATTGTCTGAGCGAAAAATCACTCGAACTCTCGGTGATCACTCTACTTTTCGTGTGGAATTTCACCACAAGAAACTTAGAAAATACGTAAAACGTGAATTATAAATTTTCAAAATTATAAACTTTCACCAAGAGTGAATATCGGGACACAATCAAAGTAGGATCTATTAAACGCTTCAAAGCATTCTAACTACTACATCATTAATCTCGTAGGTAAAAAACGCTTAGGAACCTATGAACGCCTATGGGTGGAGCTAGGATGGGACAGAGGGGCGCTTATTCTCTCCTTCAAATTTTAGCAGGAAGAAACAATTAAATTATGAAAATCTTAAAAGTAAAAAAATGTAACATTACAATCTATATTCCGCAAAAAAGCTGCGGTATATGCTCTCTGATTAAAAATCAATAACAAAGTATTAGCAATGCTTTATAACAATAAATGTAATAAAAATTTCTTAATTTCATCATCCGACGTTAGTACCTGTATTGTCTACAATGATTTTGGCGTATTTCAGTTATGTAGGAAGGATTTAGTTCCAGACGTGCGTAAAAAAAACATCGAGAAAAGGTAGTATTATGATATTATTTTATCATGCTCTCCTCCATTTACATTTTGCACAATAATAACTTTATTAATAATCAATATTTATTAATATCACTACATTTATCAATAATAACTTTCTTAATAATCAATATTTATATTGAAAACTTAACGATTATATTCGTCAAAGTGTTGTTCAATCAACCTACGTTCAAAATTATGAAATATTTATTATTTAGGACGTTATTTATATAAAAATGTGGCAACACTGTGTAAATGGATCGAAGAGAAACAGGAATGATAATGTGGCCTCCACTAAAATAAATTTAAAAAATTGGTTTTGTTT